GAAACTCTAGGGTCAGGGCCAGTAGGATGTGTGTTAACAAGTCTTCCGGGTGATCCTCAGCACACTCAAGTTTGAGAACTGCCCCTGTAGGAAGTGTTCCTGAGACCCCAAAACTAACTTTATTTTCCTCTCTCTAGTCTCTTCTGCTTTTTTCTCTTGTGTTTCCCTCTGCTGCAGCACGTTTTCTATATATTGTTTCTCTATCTGCGTACTAGCCTATATCCCAAACTGGAGGGCAAAGTCTGTGATCGTTGGGTCCATGGGGTCCCAATGACCTAGGACAGTGGCTAGCATCTACTAAGCACTCAGTAAATATTTGTTGAATGCATTAAAGAAGGACAGGGAGTTAAGCTACACCTTATTATGTGATTCTTTCCAGGTAATTTCCTCTGTGGCTAGCATAAAGACAAAAGAAGACAGAAAGAACAAGGATATAAAATATCATCAAGCCACCTGGTGCCTGAACTCTGTCCCTCACAGTGAGAGGGTCCAGGTTTTCATGATTCTTTGCTCTAGGAAAGCTAAAAATAGGAGTTTAATAAACGTCTTTCTGTGGAGAGGCTAAGCCTAGCACCAAAAAAATGAGGGAGAGGGAAGGAGGAACGCAGAAACGGTTTTCTGCAGAATTGCTTGGCAGTAGTTTCTTCTCATGCTGCAACACAATGAAAAAAGAGAGTAATTCAGATTCCCTTCACATTCTACTCTCCCAGGTTTTCTTTCTTACCTGATAGTCTCATCAACAGGAACATCTCCATTTCTTCCAGGGAACAGAGGTAAAGGTATGCCACTTACTAGGGCCCAGAGGCACCTTTTGTTTAGCAGTAAGATAAAGGGAGAGAGAATTTTGCCACCCCTCGGACACAGCTATCAGCAGATTTCACGGAGTAACCCTAGCAAATTCATATTGGTTGATGTAAATCTGTTGGAAGATGTAAAACTGCTTGTACCCAGGGGAGGCAAAATGGGTATTGGCAATTCTCCTTCCTGGAATCACAGAATCCGTAGGGGGTAGGGTTCTCAATCCTAGTTGCATATTAAGACCTAAGAAGATTTCTAACAAAAGCAATGCCCAGCCTAACTCTACACCAGTGCCATCAGACTCTCTGAGAACAGAGCCTGGGCGCCTGCATTTTAAACACCACCTGGGTACCCCAGGTGATTCTAATATGCAGCTTAAGGACCACTGGCATAGTATTAAGGCCAGGTGGGGACTTAGAAATCATGGGACCCAATGTCATATAATGGTTAAAATGAGTGAACTAGATCTCTGTAGATAGAATAATGTGGAATCAGCAAAGCATCACAATATGGAATGGAAAAAAACAAGTCTGCATAAAAGAAGCTCAGAATGATACAAATTATTAAATACATGCCCCCAAATCACATATTCTCTATATTGCTATAGTGATTATTTGGGTAGAAGTCTAAAAGTGGATTAGAAGGAAGTGAGTTCAGGTCTCACAAGTGGTGTCTTCTGGGCCGGGGGAAGGGACTAGGGAGGGAGGATAAAGGGAGCAAAGTGGGGTCCACCTTCTTGTGTTGTGCTTTCCTTCATTTATGGCTTCAAAACAAGACTTGAAACAAACGTTGCACAATGTTAGTAGTATCTTCTGACTGGAAGGTATGCACAGATGTATATTGTTTTGTGCTTTCTATTTTTTTGAAAAATAAATTCTCAAAACAAAAATAATTAAAAAAATAAAGATCTAGCACCTCGGGTTTTCTAATGTTAAAGCCCGAATGCATACATGCCATAATAATTCTGTCAAAGGCGCTGGACTCACACACCTCAGGGAACTGCTATTAAACTCTGCTGAGTCACAGATGCCCTGCCTGGAGAGTTGTATGCCTTCTCAGCATCCCTGTAACCTCCTCTGTCCCCAGGTTCACAGCTCCCCTACTCAGAGGCTCTCGGCTCCTCCCTCCGCGGTGGCAGGCTGCTCTCTCTGTCCCTGCCCGCTGGCCTAGTGGGTAGTGACACAGCGCGGTGCGTTCCTGCAGGCAGGCTCAGGCCCCTGTGTACTCGGCTTGACCCAGGCAAGCTCCTGCACTTGCGGCTGAAGAGCAAGGGCTCAGATGGGCGTTCCGGTGCGGGAACCTTGCAGGAAGGCAATCAGTCGATTTGTATTCAAGCTGAAAAGCCCCCTCTGAAGCCTGCGATCCAGACACAAAGCGAGATGAATGTGCTTCGCTGCAGAGCTTACAGCTGGGTTATTGACTGGGACTGAGAGAGGCGTTGAAATGAAATAGGGAGACTGAAGAGATCTGCTCTTTTGATTCGGTCTCTTCCAGGATTTTGCAAGCTCCAGATGGCTTTGGTCCAAAGTGAAAAATCTCCCTGAGATTCTATCTAAAATTTGAGGGAATCAGCTGCGTAAATCATTTTTCTTTTAATAAAAAGCGAGCGCGTGCTGGTTTCTCCCCCTCCCATGTTCTGATGTGGCTGGCTCACCTGTGGCTGAGCTGTTTGAACGAGCTGGGTTTTCCTCCTCCTTCGCAAGCTTAGGTGTAAAGCAAGCCACAGTGCCTGAGAGCAGTGGAGGAGCCATGTTTATGGAGTCGGAGTACAGTCCAGAATTCAGGCGATCAGAGGCTTAATGAATGAATAACTGTCAAAGCACAGTGGGGTGTTTGATAACCTCTAAGGCTGCTTATTGTGAGTGGAAATCACAAGGTGAAAAAAAGAGACAGGGATGGATGAGCTTGTGTTTCTTACTCCTCCTTGCCTTTGAAGAATTTGACAATACTGTCATCAAGTGCTCCCTGGGGAGGGTGCTCTTGGGGACCTAGGAGGATTCTGGTTTGAGGAAAGCAGAGGAGAGCTACATAATTAAGGAAGAAAGAGCAGAAATTGGGGAGTGGGGCTGCACATTTAATGCAAGAATTCAAAGTGTAGAAGTCCTGTTGAAGAAAAAGGGGGAGAAGCCCCCACTATCCAGTACCTCCAGAGGAGGAGCTGGAGGCACAGACCAGATAGGATCCCCACACAAGGTCTTCAGATAGAAAATAGGAAAACTGAGGAATCTGCTTCACTGTTGATTAAGTCTCTCCAAGGGTTTTGCCAGCTCCAGAAATTGAGCTTAAGTGGTGTTCTAGACATTAGATCATTTTTATTGCTAGGTTGCAGTAGGAGGAATTTTCCTTAATGTCTGGAATCAGGAGGGCATTGACTCTGTTTCTAATGCAGGGACATCTAATAGAGCTCAATTTGCTTGCCAACTCTGCTTGAGTGGTAATGGCTACCTGGAGCACTCAGGAAGGGCTTTAAGGCCAGAACCAGGCTCTGGTGGAACAATACTTGATTGATTAGTGATGTCTGTCTTGGGTGTGTAATGGTAAAGGCAGCATGTGTGCCTCCTATTTGGAATTTCTGCTTTGAGATGCTTTTCCTTCTGTAGGTGTATCACCACCACTGACATCCATTTAACAATCTATGCATTAGACTCCAAGTCTTTTAGCCTCTTCTGTTAAAGAGCTTTCACCTTAAAAGGGATGGCAAAACAGTTCATCAATCATATTTTTTGTAGGTCCTTTGGAATTGGCTAAGTTTACGATTCAAGGGGCATTGGAATACTTTCCACTGCTTGCCTCACTTACCAAAATGCCTACAGAAGTTATGCCAGAGAGAGCAGACCTTAATTTTTAGGTTTATCCTCTCCAAATTTACAATCAGAAATTCGCAATTGTATGGTGAAAATAAATGTTCAGTGACTAAGTCTCCTTTCAAGACCCTGATATAAGTAGCTTTGAGTCTAAATCCAATTTCCAAATAGACGTTTGGGCATCTCAAGTGGTGATAATAGTTATGGTGTAATGAAACTGGAAGTGTATCTGGGAGCAGAACTCTGACGCCAATGTCTTGTTGCCTATGGGAGGAAGGATAAGCCCAGTAAGAATGACTTGAATCCTGATAAATTGCTGAGTGGAAGGACAGGAGAGGAATTGTGGAGAGGGGAGAGAATGTTGGAAGGATTCAAGCCCCTGTTGCAGACAGCCCCAGCTCACCAAAAATGTGAAATACTCATTAGCCTTTACAGAATGTGGTAGGCTGGATCATGTCCCCAATCAAAGATGTTCAATTCCTAATCTCTGGTCCTTGTACACCATGAAAGGGACTTTATGGATGTGATTAAGACATTCAAGATAGTTAAAATATCCTGGATTATCTAAGTGGGCCTAATGCAATCACAGTGGTTCTCATAAGAAGGAAGCAGGAAGGTCACAGCCAGCAAAGGAGATGTGATAATAAAAGCAGCAGTCAATAACATGGGGCCATGAGACAAAGAATGCAGGCAGCCTCTAGAGCTGTGGTCCCCAATGTTTTTGGCACCAGGGACCAGTTTTGTGGAAGACAATTTTTTCATGGACTTGGCAGGGAGACAGTAGTTTGGGATGAAACTGTTCCACCTCAGATCATCAGGCATTAGACTGTCATAAGGGCCACACAACCTAGATCTCTTGCATGTGCATTTCACAATAGAGCTCACACTCAGGTAAGAATCTAATGCTGCTGCTGATCTGACAGGAGGCGGAGCTTAGGTGGTAATGCTCACTTGCCTGGCGCTCACTTCCTGCTGCACAGCCCAGTTCCTAACAGGCCATGGACTGGTACTGGTCCATGGCCCAGGGGCTGGGGACTCCTGCTGTAGAAGCTGGTAAAGACAAGGCCAGATCCTCCCCTAGAGCCCCCAGAAGGTACACAGTCCTATAGACCCGTTTTAGACTTCTGATCTCTAGAACCATAAGAAAATAAATTTGTGTTGCTTTAAGCTACTAAGTTTGTGGCAATTATAGAAGCCATAGAAAATGAAGACATTCATCTCTGACTTATAAAGCCTCTTCTCCATCCCCATAGCCTTTAGGCTCCTAGTGACCATACCCCGATAAACACCTGTTCATAGGAAAGCAGGCCCTGTCATGTGTAGTTTAGAATGAGTTTTAGTCACACATTTCAATCACCTCAGCAGCTTGACTAATGGCAAATTTTGTCCATGCTACAGGAATTCCAAACACAAAGACCCCTTCCTAATCCCTCGACACATAAGGCTGCCAATTTAGTATCAAGAGAAGACAGGAAGAACTTTTAAGGTAGGAAATTCCTAAAATCTCAGCCTTACTTTTTTCTCCCTTGATAAGAAATCATAAGACCTGCAATTTTAAGTTCTTTTTTTCTTTCTTCATTTTCCTTTTTATTTATTTTTTCTTTCATCTCCCTCTATCACTTAGGCTGGAGTACAGTGTTGTGATGACAGTTCGCTGCAACCTCCAACTCCTGAGCTCGAGCAATCCTTTCACCGCAGCCTCCTCAGTAGCTGGGGCTGCAGATGTGTGCCATCAGGCCTGGCTGGTTTTTAATTTTTTTGTGGAGACAGCGTCTCACTATGTTGCTCAGGCTGGTTTCAAACTCCTGTCTCAAGCAAGTCACCCACTTTGGCCTCCCAAAGCACTGAGATTACAGGCATGAGTCACTGTACCCAGCCCAATTTAAAATAATTTCTAATTGCTCTGTGTCAGTTAAGACACCATAAGATTTGTCTTCATATCAGCCTTCATCTATCACATTGAGGGAAATAATTACTTCAGCTCGACATATGGACTAAAAGCATCTGTATCTTTTGAGGCTAATTAAGGTGAAATTCACTGAAAACTTATTTCAGAGAAGTAGTCTGTAGGTTCCATGAGGCCAGGACGAGGGTGTATCTGTCACCATCAATGAGTTCTAGTAACTAGCAGTGTGCCTGCCACAGAGTAGACATTCAAGCAATTGATCTTCATTGAATAAATGAATGAACTAAAGTAAATAATGTTTGATAATGATGGTTCACTAAATGAATATCCCCGAGGAAAGTAACCCATGTAGAAAATACTAAAGTCTATTGCTAAATTTTGCAAAGAATATAGTGGTCTTTGAGAGAGAAGTATGAAATACAGATTTTCTTGCATGTGATTCTTGGTGTAATTACAGGAAATTTTAATTTTCTTCTTTATGCTTGTCTGTGTTTTAAAATTTTGTGTACTGAATACGATTTACATTTGTAATCAGAAAAAAGTAATTTCTCAAAACGTTCTCAGGGAGTATGATGAGATGGCTAGAGTTACATGACTTTCCTTGGATGTGCCTTTAGCTGTCCAAGGGAGGTATTAAACTCATGAATGCAGTTAATTATTGATCCCTGGTTCTCTTACAGGAAAGAGATACATGGAAATAGCCATCAAATAAATAGGGTTTAGAGTTGTGGTAAGAAGCAATAACTGTGAGTCAAATCCTCAGTCTGTCCTTTGTACTTGTTTGACTATAAACAAGTTACTTAGTTTCTCTGAGCTCTGATGCTTTATCTGTAAAATGGGGTAAGCAACCATACAGGACTATTTGGGAGTTAAGTGAGACACAAGTTGTAAAGCATTTAGCCCCATGCCTGGCACATGGTAAGTGTTCAATACATGTCAGCTCTTATTATTTTTATTATTAACAAATTGAACATTCTTGGCCTTGATGCTGACATTTCCTGCTGATAGGCAAACTGATTTTTTTCAGTGCACACAAATGGAGGGCACTGGGAATCTCTGGATTTTTTCCTAGCAATAATTAGAAATGACAGAGTGATTAGGTGGCTAGAGGACATAATTAACCTCTCTGGCTCTCAGTCCTCTTTTCTGTAAAAGGAGGGGATAGAATTAGAAGACCTTTAAGGTTCCTCCGTGCTCTATGACGTTATGTGTATAAGATTTAATTTTGCATTGGAAACCTTCATTTGAAAGATCATGACTTTCTTAAAATTTCATGTATTTATTTATTTAGAACCACAATCTGTTTATTCCCTCCTACAATCTATTGTGCTAGATGAGTATCTGGGAACACAATAAGAAAGATCCTGGTATGGTCAATTGTCTTTGTATTCCGTATACAAGGCTGGAGGCTGATTCCAATTTTTTTGTTGTTGCTCAGGGAACTTAAATTACATTTGTCTTGGAAATGGACTAGAGGATGAAGAACCTGAGATTTTTTTTTAACCCATGCATTGTTAAAGAGAACAACAGCCAGCCATTTCAAGGTTGCAATGCCTAACTTGGTGATGAGAAATTTAAGATTGTACCTGACTAAAATGAAAAGAACCTTTTTGTTTTTTAGATGCCTGCCCTGTGGCTGTCCTGGGCTACCAATTATGGTGCCACCTTGTCTAACTTCTCACTCTGTCCATTTTCCTCCTCACGAAAATTTACCTGCACAATGTTTCATCCCCCCAGGGCCTTGCTTCTAGTTTCTATGGCAACAGTGAGCTAATCCACGCTTTATGTGCCCTTCCTACCGTCTCCAGCAAGGGAGACTTTAGGAGATGACAATCTCTTCCTGGAAGTGAAATGACATTAATGGGAAAAGCTCAAACTAAGATTTAAGACTGATTGTTTGAAACCGGCAATCTGTAGTACCTCTCAAATTAAAACATGGAAGTCATCTTCCTTCCTACTTACATATAGAGCCAACCTGGTGCCTTGTTATTCTTATGCTTTCCTTTGCTAAACATCATGTCCTATTCACTGTGATCATAGTGACATGCTGGCTGTGGTCTGTCCTGCTGAGCGCTGTGACTGCACAGGTGATATCCAAATTCAATCATCTAACACTTTTTCTCGACTTTCACTAATGCAGGAAGAAGTAACACTGGAGTCAACAACAACAACAACAGCAAAACAACCTCTGGCAATTTCTTATCCTGTGTCTGACTGACCTCTTTTATATCCAAGGAAAGTATTGTCAAACCACCAATCCCCCAGAACTACACTGTCTTGGAGATGCTAAATTGCAAAGAGAAAACATCTCAGCATTAAGGAGGAAGAGAGCTCTGGCTGTGGAATGATTAGAGGGTGCAGCATCCTTTGGCAAAATGCTGCAATATCTCCTTAGGCTTATATGCTATCGTCCTGATTCTAAGATTTTCCATCTCAGGTATTCAGACCTCTAAACTCTGTCTCCTTCTCCCCAACCCTATTTACAAGTTGACATGTACCAAAAAGAGTAAATGAATGACAACAGTTTACATTGCTACTCATTCTCAAAGACATTTTCATTTTGACATGAAATAGAGATGTAATTTAAACTACAGTAGAATTTAAGTGTAGAATCAGGAAGGGGTGGGGGGAAATTAGAGGTGCAGATGATTATATAGTCCAGTAACCTAGGATTAATTGCCTCTGCACATCTGTCTTTGGGAGAGACTTAATCTCTCTAAACCTTAGTTTTCTCACTTGTATTATGGGATCATAATTGTTCCTATCTCATAAAAGGCTGCCAAAGAAAAACTAGAGCTGCATAGTAATTAAAGTGGTAAAAGCAGATTTTAATTAGGAACTATTACAGTAGGGGAAAATGTGTCTAGTTTAGTATAGCACTAGGTTCAATTCTGAATACAGCAAGCACAGGTGAAGATTTATAGACAAAGAGCAGGGTGGGAGTCAACAGATAAACAATCACTAAGAGTAAACATCAGGGGGTAAGCCAAAAATAAAATTCTAAGCCCCTCAACCAATTGAATGGAACCCTCTCTTGACCAAAGGCATTCCAAAGTAAACCTGAGAAATGAGTTCAGGCCGTGATAGGAACGGAGGATCAGACATACCTCATTTTTACACCCTCCTCCCTTTGTAATCCAGACACAACTTATCAGCATTAACATTAAAACAGAGCTCTGTGTAACAATAAGATACCAAATTCTAATCTGAATCTAATATAGCATCACATGACAGGTAGCAAGCCCTGAAAGAAATAGAAACATTTTATTCCATTTTTTTTTTTTTTTGAGATGGAGTCTTGCTCTGTCACCCAGGCTGGAGTGCAGTGCTGTGACCTCAGCTCACTGCAACCTCCACCTCCTGGGTTCAAGTAGTTCTCCCTGCCTCAGCCTCCCAAGTAGCTGAGATTACAGGCACCTGCCACTATGCCCAGTTAATTTTTGTATTTTTAGTAGAGACAGGGTTTCACCATGTTAACCAGGCTGGTCTCAAGCTTCTGACTTTAGGTAATCCACCCACGTTGGCCTCCCAAAGTGCTGGGGTTACAGGCACGAGCCACTGTGCCCGGCCCCCACATATATTTATTTGACATATTTTGAAATGGCCCTGCAAAGCTATCTCTTGTGGGGAAAACCTACATTCTGTAGAGAATCCCCTTCCCTTTCCATGTCTTTTCCTGATCCAGGAGAGAGTTAACTGAGTGTAGCACCTTTAAGGGTCTAGCAAGAGATATGTACCACCTATTCCCTGAAGTCTGCTAATCTGGAGGCTACATCTACATGACAAGAACCTTGGCTGATAATCCCCCTGTATCAGCCACAAACTTTTCTTTCTGCTGGCCTCAATTCTTCAGGCAGAACTTTTTAAACCAATTGCCACCAGAGAAACCTTTAAATCCACCTATGATGTGGAAGCCCCTGCTTTGAGATGTCTCACCTTTCCAGGCTGGATCAATATATACCTTACATTATTGGTTTACAACTCTGCTTGTAGTTTCTGTCCCCCTGAAGTGTATAAAATCAAGGTGTAACCCAACCACCATGGGCACATGTCCTTGGGACCTGTTGAGACTATGCCTTGAGCCTTGGTCACTTGTATTTGGCTCAGAATAAATCCCTTAAAATATTTCACCGAGTTTGACTCTTTTTTTATTGCCAGGAGTAAGGGAGGATTCTGGCTAAATGACCGAAGAGCATTCTTACTGAACACAGATCAAGGTGATCAAATATCAGTTGGGGATAGTGGGAGATAAGGAATTTGATCAGATATCAAGGATGATCAGATATTAAGGGTGGAAGATTCTCACTAAATTGACTTAGCAGTTTTAAAATTAGGCAATGCCAAGATGAATACTGAAGGTTGAGGCTACAGGGTTTAGAGGAGCCTAGAGTTAGCTCAAAAAGAGACTCCTTGTCAAGGTGTCCAGAAGATTAAATTAATTATCCACATAAAGTGGTAAGAGATCAAGTAAGCGCTGGATATATTATGGTTCCTGTTAAAAATAAAGCATTAAGAGAAGGAAATTATGGCTAATTGTAGAATTTGAAACATCACTTGTTTGGAAAAATGTTTATTCAAGTCATTTACCTATTTTTAAAATCAGGTTATTTATTTTTTGCTGTTGAGTTGACTGAGTTCCTTATATATTTGGGATCTTAACCCCTTATCAGATATATAGTTTACAAATATTTTATCCCATTCCATAGGTTGCCTTCTCTCACAGGATTGTTTCCTTTGCTGTACAGAGCTTTTTAGTTTGATACAGTCCCACTTGTTTATTTTTGCTGTTGTTGCTAGTACTTTTGGTGTCATATCCAAAAAACTCATTGCCAAGACCAGTGTCAAGGAGCTTGTTCTTGGCTGGGAATGGTTACTCATGCTTGTAATCCCAGTACTTTGGGAAGCTGAGGTGGGGGATCACTTGAGCCCAGGAGTTCAAGACCAGCCTGGGAAACATGGCGAGGCCCCATCTCTACAAAAACAGCAAAAAATTAGCTGGGTGTGGTGACACCCACCATAGTCCCAGCTACACAGAGGCAGAGGTGGGAGATGGCTTGAGCCTAGGAGGTCAAGGCTTCAGCAAGTCATATTCATGCCGTTGCATGAACTCCAGCCAGGGAAGTTGGGGCTTCAGCAAGCTGTGATTGCAACACTGCACTCCAGCCTTGGTGATAGAATGAGACTCTGCCTCAAGGAAAAAAAAAAAAAAGAGAGAGAGAGAGAAAACTTGTTCTTTTTGTTTCTTTTAGGAGTTTTATGGTTCCAGGTCTTGACCAAATAGATATATGAGAAGGTGCTTAACATCATTAATCATCAAATGCAAATCAAAACCACAATGAGATATCACCTCACACTTGTTAGGATGGCTGTTATCAAAAAGTCGTAAGATAACACGTATGTAGTCATTATGGAAAACAGTATAGCTGTTCCTCAAAAAATTAAAAATAAAACTATTTTCATCATATGATCCAGCAATCTCACTTCTGGGTATATATCCAAAGTAAATGAAATCATTAATGTCAAAGAGATATTAATGTCTGCATTCCCATGTTTGTTGTAGCACTATTCATAATAACCAAGATATGAAAACAACGAAGTGTCTGCTGATAGATGAGTGGATAAAGAAATTGATATATGCGTGCGCGCCACACACACACACACACACACACACACACACACAGGGATATTATTTAGTTTTTTTAAAAAAGGAAATTCTGCCTCTTGCAACAACATGAATCAAGCTGGGGGACATTATGTTAAGTGAAATAAGCCCTACCCAGAAAGAAAAATAGTGCATGCTTTCACTGATAGGTGAAATCTAAAAAATTCAATTTCACAGAAGCAGAGTAGAATGGTGCTTACCAGAGGTGAAAGATGGGGGAAATGGGAAGATATTAGTCAAAAAGTACAAAGTTAGTATGTAGGATGCGTAAGTTCTAGAGAGCTAATGTATTGCATGGGGAGTATAGTTAGTATTGTATTCTAGAAATTTGCAAAGAAAGTAGATTTAAGTGTTCTTACTACACACATAAAATGTTAATTAGCTTGACCGCAGTAATTTCCTATGCATATGTATTAATATATCAAAACATCACAATTTACATCTTCAAATACAATTTTAATAAATTTTTTAAAAAAATAACTTGTTTATTCAACAAATACTTATTAAGCACCTATAAATGTGTTCAGGCACTGCTTCATTTTATTATTTATTTATTTTTTTGAGGCAGGGTCTCACTCTGTTGCCAAGGATAGAGTGCAGTAGTGCACTCGCCGCTCACTGCAGCTTTGACTTCCTGGGCTCAAGCAATCCTCTTGCCTCAGCTTCCTGAGTAGCTGGGACTAAAGGCATGTATCATGTGTTTTGCTTTTTTTTTTTTTTTTTTTTTTTGGTAGAGATAGCTGTCATCATGTTGCTGGTGCTGGTCTCAAGCTCCTGGGCTCAAGCGATCCTCCCTCCTTGGCCTCCTAAAGGGTTAAGATTACAGGTGTAAGCCCCACGTCTGGCCTCTAGACTGTTTTGAATATTGTGCTAGGAGAACAGTCATGAACAAGATGGACAACATTTTTGCCATTGCTGAGCCTATATATTAGCGGAGGAAGGTAGGAAATAAACAAATATATGTATGTTAATTTCAGGTAGCCATAAATGCTGTGAACAAAATAAGCAGGATAAGGAGATAAAGAGTGATATGGAGTGGACTTATCTTAGACAGGGTGGGCAGGGAAGATGTCTCTGAGGAGGAGGCCATAATCACAGAATCTTAAATGAAATAAAGGAGTGAGTCAGGTGAGTGACTCTGATGGAAAGAATTAGCAAATCAGCCATGATTTGGTAGATTGTTTGTTTTTCTGGGAATTTTCTATTACCTATAAAATTATATCAGTGAATGCAAATTATTTGGCTAGAAGTGAAATTGATCTTGAATGTGAGATTAGGGCTAGATGAAAAAAGGAAACCAGGGTTTGCTGAGCAGTTATTATGTGCCAGGGGCTATCCTCCCTGCTTTAAACAGGTTTGTTCTGTCCTCTAATGTAGCAGTCCCCAACCTTTCTGGCACCAGAGACCAATTTTGTGGAAGACAATTTTTCCACAGACTGGGAGGTGGGGATGGTTTCAGGATGAAACTGTTTCAGCTCAGACGATCAGGCGTTAGAGTCTCATAAGGAGCGGGCAACCTCGATCCCTCGCATGCGCAGTTCACAAAATGGGGGAGGCACTCCTGTGAGAATCCAATGCTGCCACCGATCTAACGGGAGGTGGAGCTCAGGTGGTAATTCCGCGGGCCTGACGCTCACTTCCTGCTGTGCCACCTGGATCCTAATCGGCCACGGACAGGTACCAGTTCGTGGCCCGGGAGTTGGGGACCCGCGCTTTAATAAACCAACCAATCACGCTGTCATTTCTCATAACAGTCTTATGAAGTTATTACTCTCCCAATGTGAAAGCTGAGCCTTGAGAATTTTCAGCAACTTACCCCAAGATAGTTAGAGGCTGAAATGGAATTTTCCACCTATCACTGGTAAGCTCTCCAG